CCAAGCTGTCGATCTGTGAAAGATGTAGGAGAGCGTAGGACACGGGTTCGAATCACTGCATGACTTGGAAGACGCCTCAAACTACTGCGTTATGCGCTCTTAAGAAATCCTTCTATCGTTTTAGGAAGCTGATATGAAAAGTGTTACTTATTAACGAGACATTTTGTTTTACACCATCAGTGTACACATCTATCTACTGTGCGATTCTGATCCCAGTATTTCTCTCTTTCGATTTCTTTCTTCTCATCCATTATTCACGAGGATCTTCGAACTTTTCGCATGTTACTTCAGCGGCTACTGGATAATTTACTCTTCGTCATTACTGTCGTTGAAATCTGCTCGATTGATTATCCCTACAATCTTGAGGCAGCAGAGCCAAGGCATTCTCATGTGAATTGGAGGAAATGAATTGGTACAAGATAAGTCTGATACTAAATTCTCTAGCTCGGAAGGATGAGACGTTCTGTGAGCTCATGGTGGGATCGGACCACCACCGTTCTCATGATGAAGGCCATCACTAGCACTCCGACACTTCCCCCTCAAAAAAGATTTAAGATGAAGTACTATTCAACTTGCTAACAGTCTAATAATCGTCTCCACTAATTTTCTTTAGGTTCAAAATTTCAAAGCCACAAATCGACGTTGCGTGGACCTTGAAGAACTGCTGTAAGAAAATTCCCGGAAATATAATAAATAGTTTTTCTTGTTCAGAAAGGCTCCCCTATCCCTAATTTCTAAAAAGTTTCTAAGTTTGCAAAATCCACTGTAGCTATGGAATCAACAACAGCTAAACTAATGGAAACAACCTTGTTGGAAAATTTGATCGGCATTATTTTTTCCCACAATTCTCTTAAAATCACATACGCTTCCTCTTTCGAATTCCTAGTGTCTGTCACTTTCCTGTTCCAGATGACTAAATTAACGGCGCATAAGTTTTATCCGTTACCCACTACTTTTTTCGCAGCAGGGTATTATGTGAAATATAACCACAGTCCTGCTGAGATACTTGAAAAACTCGGACCCCAAGAACAGATCGAACCTCGATTACCCTTTCCGAGTGCTCACGTGTTACCTACGGCACCAAATGAGGCTCTCATTCTGCCTTTCTCTTAGCCAGTCTTTTTACTAGTTTCGTCCAAGTTTTGCAAATATCTCAGCACTATTGTAGTTCAAATTACAGCGCTATAGTTTAAGCTTCATTGTTGTTAAGATACTAGTAACTCATGCATGGATTTCAATGCGTTTATTTTCCATTGTTTAATTTGTTATAAAGAATTCGCTTGTAGCGTGTTTTGCATTCAATCGATATCTCGTCAAACATAGCGCTGCGTCAGATAAGGCTCTACAAAAGCTACTCTTTAAAATTAATAGTTTGCAAAAAAAATCCTAGGACGAGTTTTCTAATGCACCTCTTACATGGCGAAAAATTAGAGGCAGCTCCAAGTAGCTACAACACGAAATTATGCTGGATACTAAGCAATGTTAAGTATTTCTCTGTATTTTCTTTTTTGGAAAAGATTAATGATGTTTCAATAATAGAACAACGGTCAAGACAAAACGTCTATCATCTGCACTCTCGTGTGTGCAACAAAATGCCCATTTATCTCTGCTATGTAGAAATGCTCAAACCTCGTAAACTCTAAGGATTTGGCGAGCATCCATCCTACTGTCCTTTTACGACCAGTGTAAAGAAGCATCGACTATTCCATAGGTGGATCTCTCTCGTGCTCTTGTCGTCCTGAGGCACCTAATCGCTAATGTCTCTTGTTCTGCGGTTCTAAAGTTGGGAACATCATGTATATGACCTGTTTACTTTTCGTTCTATCCAACTTTGCCATTATCAAGGGTTTATTCTATGTCAGAAGAATACAAGCTCTTACTTTTGTGGTGTTACATACCCATGCCCATGGATAACTTGCAAATCTACTGGGTTAAAATGGGTACACTCATGGATAGCTCGACAACCATTCCTACAGTAAATGAGGAGCCTGCTCGTTAGCGGGAATTCCCATTCACTTCACTAGAGGTTTTACTTCATTCGACATGCAGGACAAAATCTTCATACATGCAACACGTCAACGAATTCATGTCTGCATTTACCCAAAAGGATAAAAGGATAAAACTTTCGGCTTTGATCAATCGCTAACAGATGCGCCATGCGTTCGACTTCATTAAGCATCGTTTAGACGAGATTGGATACATATCTGGCCTTTACAATGACTCGCGGTGGCTTACCTATGTATCGAGCCAGTGCTGCTATCCTCCTAGAAAAGTCTGGTACCAATCTGCCCACCCCGGAGGGATGGAAGGCTTGGTGGGCCACGGGGCGCGGGGTTCGAACCCATGTGTGTGTTGCAGGGCGCCTCCGACCACTGCGCCACACGCGCCCCTTTACCTAGCCGAAAAGAATACAGAAGAATATGTCAGACCGGGAAAGCAAGCAAAAATTCCACTTTTTGAATCTTTTTGCTGTTCCAGAATGTCGAAGGTAGCTTCTTGTTCACATCCAATCACCTGTCCATCTTTTTCGTATACAACACGTAACATTTCGACTGACCTGCCTGGGAACTTTTAATGAAGATGAACATCGACTAAGGAATGCGCTATATCTTCCTCACACCTATATATTCTGTGCTAATTCTTTAGCGTAACACTTTAAAAACAAAATCTATTAAGACGACAAAAACTGCGCTTTTGGCAAAGTGGAGGGAAAAGCTTAATTGAACATAAGCGCTATTAGCACCTGCATATCCTGCAGCCTCTATTCACATACCAGTTTTTAGCGCTCATTCCGGAATTTGAAGAAGATGAATAGAAAACTAAAACTCTAGCTAGAGTTGAAAACAGCGAATAATGTTTTTAATTTGTTGAGGGTACAAAAGGTTTATAACTGTGTTTATTTTGGCTAATGTTTCGACGTCTTTGCCTTCATCAGAGGCGATGATCCGTGTCCGTGTTCCACCATTGTTCGTTATGAATGTGTCGTTTTCTTGTTAAGCAATCGCGAGGTTTTTAAACAGCATACATTTACTTCCATAGAAAAACACAATACAATACAACGCTGGCTGACGTTTCGGCAGTATCGCCTTCTTCAGAGCCGCTTTTTCGTGATAATCAGCTGTTCTAAACTTCCTCATTGGAAGTCACGAAAAAGCGGCTCTGAAGAAGGCGATACTGCCGAAACGTCAGCTAGCGTTGTATTGTATTGTGTTTTTCTATGGAAGTAAATGTATGCTGTTTAAAAACCTCGCGATTGCTGAACAAGAAAACGACACATTCATATTGCAATGCCGAGGTTAAGAGAAAGTCGATCCTGGGAACTATTACAAGTTGTTCGTTATCTCGAGATGGCGTCTTCGTTGTCGTACTGAAACCGCGAATAGTATTTTCGCAGGTGATCAACAATCGTGAAATCCTGCAACTACACTGGCTTAAAAACATAACAGATACAACACCTGAATCGATGTCAAAGGTTAATAGTGGATTTTCCTCGTAGATCCATTGTTAGGCAAAGTAGTCAAACACTCTGCTGCCACTAAAATTACGAAAAATTCAGTGACGTATCAGTCTATACCAATGTAGGATCAACGTAATCGAAAGCGCAATCGAGGAGTCGATCCTCGAAGTGCCTTCTTATCACTCAAGTTAACAGCCAAATAAGTCCCAAATACGTAAATTACGAGAAGTCAGAGCTGTCGTGGTACACGCCAAAATCGCGAAAAACGGATGGACCAGAAATGTGATGAGTCTGAGCGAAACCAATGAACAAGAATCGTTAGGTGGATTGATTCCTCGGAATGTCAAGTGCACAGCAGAAACACCACCGAGCCAACGATCGGAGTTCTTCATGAAGATTCAAGAAGAAATATTTGATGCTTGGTCAGACCTTAGAACAAGCAGAACCCACTACGCTACACTTACACGCGACAGAAACAAATGGAAAATTTAACGGCACTTAGCCGAGCTACTCCGCGATCAATAACAGGACAGATGAAGATGATGAGAACAAATAACGAAGAAATTAAGTTGTATCGTAACATTTTAAATTTTTTTCAGCTCTTTTTGAATAGCAAAGCCTTCTTATCGTGTTGGCTAAGCGGTTAATGAGAAAGGCAGTGAGAAAGCAGAGAGTGGCGCTAAATTGATTAAGAAATAATGGATGTAGAAGCATTATCTACACAACCTTAAATGATAACAGAATACATGAAAAAATAGGTGACAAATGTACGACTTTTGCGCTTTATAAGATCAGGATTTCATCTTGACAGAATAAGAAAGCTCGCATTTACTCGCGAATACCCATGGATTCTAACGGCTATTACTTCAATTAATAAAGTTTACCTTGTGCTGAGATATGTCGGCTTAAAGCTGAAAGCCGCCGCTATTTTCTCACCGGGGTTGGAAATCAAGGAAATCCACTCATGTCGTGCCCTAAGCGCTAAAATTCTCCGTTCCAAATGAGTTCAAATTGAAATTTCTCGAGATGAAATCCATGCAGTGTACGAAGTTGAAACTTTTTATTACCATAATTACAAAAACCCGCATCAAAAAACACCAAGCTGTGAGAAAAAGCTTTTAGAGGAATCGAAATTTGACTTGAAGATGACAAGATGTGAAAGTGAGAAGAAATGGAATGAACTAAGAAAAGCGTATTGCTAAATCTTATTGAGAACGATTCATATGTTTTTCGCTGTCATTACAAGTGGGAATAACTAAATAAAATAGCGCCCAACAACGAAGGAGACAAATAAAAAACGTCCACAAGAAAACCGTTCAACATTGTTAATTGAAGATGTAAAAGCTCTATGCATCAACCGGATGTTCTGATTCAAGCTTTCATGAATTTTCACAACTGAGTGTGATGACGTTCGTAAGCATAACAAAAACAGTGAAAAAAGTACATAAAACCTTTCTAAAAAACATTTCTCTTTTCCTTCCCAAATTTTCTCAAATTCCGACAATCCCACTGAAGTGAACTCGAATTACCGATGATCAATTCATTACTTAACGCTATGTCGCCTTTCAAAGTATTTCCTATAGATATCCAGAAATATCGCACTGAACACGATTCCAAAACCAACAAACGACCAGCTCGAAAGTGAATGTCCATAGTAAAACGACGATAACAGTATCGATAGCATCTGTAACGAAGAAACTACAGTTATTGGGATAATAATTCAGAAATGAAGATCTGGATCTATACGGACCATCTGGTCCCTAGTTCCACGCTCAGTTTATTTGAATTGCACACATCTGCGGTGAGGGCTCCTACATGAGACTGTTCGCTACGCGGCACATGCACTCACGTTTATATACGAAAAATACTGCTATCATTTTGTACTACGCTGTGGGATTGACCTAAATACTTATGTCTAGTCCCTACAACTCACAGACAAACCGAAACATTTTCATCTATGCATTAAACTAATAAAAACAATTGTATGCAAGATCGACAACTTGGAAAAAGCAAGGACATCGCAGCAGTGGATGTCGCGAACCGGACAATCTATGTGTAATAACAGCAATAGGTGCGTGTGTGGTGCAGCGGTTAAAAATGTGTGATCATGCAAATGAGCTCATTAGCTTCGTCGTACACGCTGAGCAAACCGCGTATTGCAACCTCCGTAATCGGCTAATTCCTAACAAACTTGCATGGGCGCGGGGGAATAAAAAAACGCTGAATTAACACCTCAGAACGCTACCTCAAGACAGCGTTTACACCAAATATACATTCAATTAACGGTACAGTACTCAATGACGCCAAATTAAATGCGCACAGACATATAGGTGATCACTGTCGATAGCTTTATTCCTTGTCTCCTTATAGAAGAGCAATAACTAGTCACCTGCCGAATCGTCATCACTACAGCAAAAACGATTGGACCAAATTTCTCGATAGTGGAATAAATGAAAAGCTGAAAGTGATGTATGAAAATATAAAAGACAAGCTGATGTAAATGAAACGAAATTTCAAAACTGTGCAGAAACATGAAGAAGTCTCTATGCTAACGGAACAGATTTATATTGAGTTGAAAAACCGCTCCGTGTAGCAGACAAAAATAATTCTCCCACAATAAGAGAGAAAAAAACAAAGTGAAACCTATTAACATACTTGTCCAGTGGCCCCAGAAAGGCTGAGGAATAACACGTCACGGGAAAAGTGTTCATGATCGAAAGCGAATCCAATCGAGGTGAACAACGTTCCCTGCTCGATAAGTGAAACCATGCATAGAATGGCTGAGAACACATTCACACCCATCATCATCTAAAAAGACGTTTTACTCTAGTATGTCAATGTTTTTTATGTTCCACTATGTTCAATGGTGCCCATCAGAATTTTCCGATTTTTTCAATTCACGACCGGACATCAGATCTACCACACTGTGCTCATCTAGGTACTTTCCTGCATTCGATTCGTTTCCCCGCATCCACCATCTATGCCAACGGAATAAAAACGGGATTTCAAAAGTTTTACTATGGAGATGAGAGCCATGAAGATGAGTACCATCAGTGACGATGAGCACTTGACGTTAACTGAGCAGAATAGTGCAAAATGGATTGAGAATTTGCCAAAGAAACAGCGCTTTGTAATGCAATAATTTTGGCACAACAGAAATGGGAAAGCGAAAAAATTCGAGCCGCTATGAAATCTATAACGATTTGTTTCGGATCGATTCCACATGTGTGTTGCAGGGCGCCTCCGACCCCTGCGCCACACGTGCTCTACATGACGGGGTATGACGTGAAATATAACTATAATGATGCTGAGATATTTCCAAAAATCCAGACCGCAGGTGTCTGCGGTGGGGGTTGAACATGCTATTACCCTTTCCGGGAGGTAATAGCTATTAAGCTGTGATTTATACTACAGCTTCAGCTCAACTGAGTTCAATGCCAATTTGTGCTCCCCAGATCAATCCCGTTGACGGGTTATTGCTGATAGCAACTATAGATTAGAACACGGTTGAAAAAAGTGGCGAAACAAACGACCCACATGGCGTGGTGGTAAACGCGTTACCTCCGGAATGGTTAACGAGTTCGATCCCCATGGAAAACACCTGCGGTTTTACAAATATCTCAGTATCATTGTAGTAATACCGTTTCATTTATTTTAAACGATCCGTCTTCACATCTATTGTGAGGATTCCAGCATTTATTTGATGCAATTCATTTCCCCGTGTCTATCATCCATGTAAGTCTTCGAGCTTTTCGAGCGTGGGCTTGACTGTTGCTTGAGTGTTGTCATATTTGTGAATGTCGTTGAATTCTCTTTGAGTCGATTCACCCTGGAATCTTGAGACAGATGGGATAGGCCTTTCCCTCACGGACTGCGGAGAATGGACTGTTCGCAGGGAAGTCAGGCATCAACTTACACTTGATGAGCCTGGGGTGAGGTCGAAGAAAATGGTGGCGGTCGTGATGAACGGCATCACTATCACTATGTTAGTAGCCCCCAATAAAAGAACATTTTACAAACTATACATACCACTATGTCGACAAACCAAATCCTTTCTAAACCTATCTCCCAAGTTCTAAACACTCCAATTTCTACTAGATATCTAGAAATTATCGGTAGCTATCAAGAAAACCAGTACAAGCCCGTTATGTTTTAACATAGCCACTTTTCCACTATTCAGAAGAGGAAGTCGCTGCTAAAATAAACTTTGTATTCAATCCTCAACCTGAACTATAAATTCAACTCTAATACACTTCGGTTTGGACCTCTACGACATTTACCGGCGCATTTCTTTCCTTACCCTTTCGCAACGTCATAACGAACGTGTATGAATATGAACAAATTGTGGTTTCGCCATATTTTTCATAATAAGAGGTAATGAGTTGTGAACGATTACTATCTTACTACTTTAGATGTAACTTATACATTTATCAAAAAATGTAGGGAAAATTAAAGGACCCAACACCAAACTAAGCCCATAAGGTAAAATTTAACGTAGTTAACCGCTGTAGAGAATTACTGGATTCACATTGTTGGACAAAATTTTTAGCACTCAAAAATAATTTCTGAAGTAAAATAAGTCGGAATATTCACATTCTTCCAATCACTGGTCATACTCAACAAACAATCTTAAACCTCCAACTGATGTCTACATACGGTAACAAGCACTACCTGATATTTCGAGATCTTCGGTTTCTTGTCAAACAATTTCTTTTGATAATTCAACGTATACGAGTCGAATACAAGATAGCCTAACATGAGAATCATCCCAGAGACCTAAAAATGAAATATGAAAAAATGAAAAGAAAATAAGGAGAAAACAATCTTAAGGACAAATCAATGTAATCGTAGCGTACCGACCGACGTCACAATACCCTCATGTTTGCTGCGACCGCTGCTCAGCAAGAACAAACCAGCGCCAGTTCCTACAGTCGCCCCACACATCCATTCTTGCCAAGTATAGTGCTGTCCGCGTAGCAGAAGTCCCATGAGCATCGTTACAACGACTTTCGAAGTTTTGCAAATCGTCTAGTACACGGAAGGCGTAGGCTCAAATAATTCTTACGAACGATATCAATAAGAAGTAAACTATTACCTGAGTAGGAAATGAGACATATTTTAGGGCTTCATACTGGCACCAAGTGGACATAGTGTTCGATATAGATGTGTATGAATGTACGAAATACGGTTGAACATGTGGCGGTTGCCTTAGAAACGATTGAAATTTTTAAAAAAAAAACTTATTTTCACCTTATATACCACTCTTAATTTTTCTTTGAAAAACATGAAGCCAACTGTGCCGTCTGCACGCCCACGCACAAATTTTTTATAACCGATTGAGGTATCCAAAGAAAAACATGTTTCTCGAAGGCCATTTGGTTTTTTTATTCCTTCAACCTAAAGTGAAGTCGAAATTAAAGCTATTACTAGTAAGAGATGATAATGTGCCATACGTTCGGCTCCATTAACCATTTGGAGGTTACTGGGCACAAATTTAGCCTATACAATGACTTAAGAGGACCTATAGAGGCAAAAATTCGGTGTGATCGGGCAATTCTCATGCCGGTCAAACCGGTAACAGTTTTTGCATTGCAATGAACCTCTCACCGCTAAACACGCCCACATAAAAACGCGATCCGTTGGAATGATTTTGCTCCCATAAGTTTTCCTTTCCGGCTTATTAGATGGGAAGTAAACGTCTTGAACCTTATTTCACGATACTGATTCAAAGATATTACCTACCTCTTCCACGTAAGAGTCAGCACAATGGCGCAGACCAATATCCCTACCATTCGATTACATAACACCAGAAACTGGGCGTCACCAAACTGATCAGTCTGATTAAAAAAAAACGCTTTGGTTTGTATCGTATTCCAAAAGTAATAAAAGTAATCAGTACTATTTGTCCATTAATATTATTATTTTACACGACCCGATATCTGAAGTTGTGCGGATTCTAGCAGCTCTCACATTCAGTTGGTTTCCTCGCATCCGTCGCTAACGAATGTATTCGGATTAATCACTATATCGACAGTAACTAAGAAACCAACGAAGGAAACCCAGTCTTTTTAAACGATTTAGAGAACGGTTTAAATTAAAGTCAGAACAAATTGAAATTGCAAGAAGTTAAAGTTACTATAGTAAACACACTAACAAACCTGTTCGAAATCGTACGCTCGATAACCCTGAGTAATAATACGCTCTTGGAGAAAACCCATCATAACTAATGTACACTAAAACATAACATAGCATTGGATACATTTCGGAAACATTTGAAAAATCAAATCTAGTTATACCTGAATACCAGCAAAGAAAAACAAGAGCGTAACGGCATCTTTGAAGAAATTCCGTGTGTCTGCACCTACAGTCGGCTTCATCGACTCAAGAAACTGATAGTTTTCTGTACCGACGGCGAATGATCGCAAAAAACGTCCCACAGTTGTGCGCGGCTCCAATGCTTAAGGTATCGAAAAGCTGTTTTTGAAAAATTCAATCTTTACAACATTTAAGAAAGATTTTCTCTGTCCTAAGCAGATTGTGCTTAATTTAAAAATTTTCGCTTGATTGGAGTCTTTGAATGAGAAACACTGTTCCCAACTATGATTCCCCTTCCGATAAGATCATCCGAATTTTCTTCACGTGTTTAGCAGATGTCAAAGGCAAAGCACGAAGTCGACACCGTCTCAGGCCAACCTAGTCCTCATCCCTTCGAGGTCCCGAAATGAACTTCAAACTTATATGGGATTGTTCCAGCACCGCTATCGTAGAGTTCCGAGGAAGGATTCGACCAGCACTTGGCGACATTTAGGACGTTAAAAATTCTCAAGAGACATAGACGAAGGAATGTGAAGACCTTCCAGTGGAATGGATGTCACGAAACAAACCGAATGCAAGAGGTAATAGGACGCGCACAATATGTGATGTCGCTTTGTATGAAATAAAAATAAAAAAGAAGAAATAAAAATTTAGTAGGTGTTTGTGCCAATGCTTGGAAAAAAATTTGTCCACAAAAACGCCGATAATCTGTGTCCAAGTCAAAAAAATTACACACGGCTTATCTTTGGAGCCCAGCTGATCAAGCAAAAGTGGCGATGTCATGAAGACTGAATGGAACATAAAACTGAGCTATCAACTTTGGAAGCCAAGTGACTGATTTTCTAGCGCTCTTTCCAGATTTACAGAGACCACTCTACCAATATGGGCGCGTGTGGCGCAGTGGTTGGAGGCGCCCTGCAACAGACACGTAGAATCGATACCTGCGTCTATGGCTCACCAAGCTCACCAACCCTCCGGGTGGGCAAATTGGTACCACACTTGTCTGGGAGGATAGCGGCACTGGCTCGACACATCGGTAGACCACCGCGAGTCGCTGTAAAGGTCAGATATGCAACCAATCACCTCCAACGACGCTTAATGTTGAATGCATGGCGCATCCCTCACGGATGGATCAGGTGAAAAAGGTGGTGGGTTTTTTCGAGAAGCCGTAGAACTTATAATTATCGTGCAGATTTTCATCTTTCAGTTTGTGCTGTTGATGCGTTTGATCTGGTGAGTTGCGTATTAATGTAACCTTCCAGACTCTGAAGACGGCGATTCTGCTGATCAAGTGGTTACCATAGAGTTTTTCGTCTTTCTGTAAGTGTTATTGAAGCGTTTGGTCTAGTATATTGTATACCAGTATACCCTTCCAGGCTCTGAAGAAGGCGATACTACCGAAACGTCGGCTACAATTGTGTTGTATGTGTGTTATTGTATGGAAGTAAACGTATGTTGTTTAACAACCTCGCGATTGCTGAGAGAGAAAACGACGAATTCATAACCCAATGCCGAGGTTAACAGAAAGTCGATCCTGGGTATTATAAACAAAGAACTCACTAGAATATTTCCGGCGAATGTATTGGATGAGCACGTATGCTGGCACGATGACCGTAGCATAACCAAAAAGAATGATAAGCAGCTTTACAATCCACGGTTGCTCATCAGGGGACATCTCTCGAGCCTCAACAAAAAGGTAAGAGTTCGAGCAAAAACTTCTCGTACTACTTTCATATTCTTCTAAATGCACCTTCTTGAGCGAAGCCTTAATGGTAGTGCTGAACCTTTACAACTTTTTCTCCTTTTCATGACCCGTTATTCTACTTACTGTGTGGATTGCAGCACTTCTTGCAATCTATTCGTTTTTCTCACATCTATCATCAACGAAGGTTTTCGAACATTTTGCCTGTTGGAAAGGAGGTTGAACAAGGAGTTTGTTTCCTAATGGACTGAGTCAATAACTATTGCACTACTCTCCATTCGCTACTTTAACAATTACTCAGCTAAAAGGGATACAAATAAAGTAAACCGTACGTTAAGATGACTCCATTGTTACCTTATAATCTTAACACATAATGAATTATGTGTATTAACTTCAGTGCTTACAGCGTGCAAATAATGGACGCCTTCGACTTTAGACTTTAGGTAATAATAGACTTAAATTGATATGGAAACGATTAAAATCCACACATTTTTGCCAACAAGATAGAGTTCTCCTATTCTACAGCAATAAAGTCCTGATTTTCTGTGGACCACGTAGCCCACTCTTCCCCATTTAAGCTCGTGTCTAAAAAGAACACTAGAGCAAGAGAACGGTCACGACTCCCAAGACCCACTTTCTATTAACAGCGCCACTGATCACTAATTCCATGCTTTCTCAATGAGCACACGAGAGTTTGTTATTGTACTGTTATTATTCTACTTATTAACAACACCCACCCTCTCAGCGGATTTCGTCTTCTTCATATCCCGAAGAAGTCAATCTCACCGAAATCTACTCAGCCAAGTATTATACTTCCATAACCTCAACAGGAAAAGGACGAAACCAAAATCTCAGTTGCATTGGAAACAAAACAGCTTTTTCACACATTCATGATTCTCTATGATTTCTCCACCGAGTCTTCCAACCGAAGAGTCCACATAGATAGGTAATGCGCCTTCCCACTTTAAAAAATCGGTCTGAGATGGAGGAGATTACGAATGAAAATGAAGCATTCCTCCCCGCGGTTCATTTTCGGATTCTTGAAATTTATGCAAAAGTATTTATGCGTTACATTGTTTAGTTAAAGATTAGCACAGTTTATTTAGTTGCTTAGTTTAGTTTACTTATCATTGATTATTTGATTATTATTCATAATGATTGCATTAAATTATTATCTCATCGTAATCAATTTATTCTAATCTCTACGACCCGCCTTTCATATCTACAGTGCGGACTCCAGCACTTCTCACATACGATTTGCTTCCTCTCACCCATCATCCACGAAGGTCTTTCAACCGTGTACCTTTGGCTGCTGCTTCAGGATTTCCCTTTCATGTTCAATGTCGTTGAATACCGGTCGAGCTGATCCTCTTTGGATTTCTGTCAGTCGGGCTACAGCGTTCCCACTTGGATTGCAAAGAGTGAATTTTTTTCCAAACAATGTCGGTTCCAACCAGCACTACGCTCGTGATGATCGCCATCACCACCACCGTGCTATCAACCCCTTAAAAAATTATTAAATTATTTAAACTACCATTATTAAAGTATTTTTTATGTATTATCACTACTACGTTATTTGCATTATTCGTCAAATGATTTAAATTACGATTATATTTACGATCCTGATCTTCATTGGAAGTCACGAAAAAGCGGCTCTGAAGAAGGCGATACTGCCGAAACGTCAGCTAGCGTTGTATTGTATTGTGTTTTTATGGAAGTAAATGTATGCTGTTTAAAAACCTCGCGATTGCTGAACAAGAAAACGACACATTCATATTCCAATGCCGAGGTTAAGAGAAAGTCGATCTTGGGAACGATTATATTTACATTATTTAGTAAAGTATCTGTGCAATATGTTTCGAGAGTGGTTTTATGTGTTGAAGGTTTCCATTCATATGCGAGGACGGCTATTTCTACTTCAAAATCTTCTCCGTTATGCAGCTGAGTACCATGCGAGCTTAGTGAGCGTTTGTTAAGCTCTACGCTTACCGTTTAGGTGCTCTTTTATACGGACGCAGAGTGGTCTATCCATTTCGCCAATATACCCGTCACCGCATGCTTTACGAACCTGAACTCATACAACCACCATTTCTACCGCTAGGGCAGATTATTCAATTTTGCGACATACACAAACGGTCATACAATAACTGATGAACCATTTAACGACTTAGAGTGTTCGACAGCATTTCAATCACCGCTAACAAATTTTCTAGACATATCTTCCTAAGTAACATTTTACAGTTGTGCTTATCTCACTTGAAATCATGAGTAAGATAAATTACCTCTTATATCCCAAAGATAGAATTACCGGGGGCAGGCGTAGTCTTTTCTCTAGGTATATTCCAAAGAGCAACATTTTCCTAGTTATAGGAAATGACTACTTCCTCTGTAATTTTAAGGATTCCTGCCTCTGCCCTCTACCTCTGCACACAATGGTGGCCGTTAAAAACATGTTTTTCACATTTTTTGTGTGAACGGTCAGAGAAGATGTAATGAACAAGTTTGTTCTTGTTACTTGGCTTCCAATACCATTTGGTGATGAAGCCGTTTCTGGATAATTTAATTGAAACGTTCGAAAATAGAAACCAGCTTCCCTTCGATTTCTCTCGGACAAATTTTATGTATTCTGACTGTTCGTTCGACAACTCAAAACAGTCCATCTACAAGAATTCAACGCGACTGTATCTCCCAACGTATCACTGGAAAATGCGGTTACCAAACCTAAGTTGAAATTTTACGTACAATTTCTCTTCTAACTCCATGTAAATTTTAAATCACGAAAAGGGATGGAGAGCATGCGGTCAATGACCACACCTGCATTGTCTTGTAGCCCTTCAGTGGGCAAACTGGTTGCAAACTTATTTAGGACGATAGCAACACTTACTTGATACACTGGTAGGCACTAACAAGACAAAGGAGCACTCAAAAACCACTACGGTGTTTAGTAGGGTCGGATGTATGGCGTATTTTTCAGTGACTGATCAATGGAGAACGTTCTATCCTTTGTTGATAGAAACAAGTTAAATATCCAGCCCGCTAAATCTACATACGCTTTAATAAACCGGCTGATCAATTGTGTTCGCTCCAAAGAACATCGAGCTTAAGAAAAATACTAGAGATCCTCGACTTTATTTTGATATAGACCAATTATCAAGACGTAATATCTTGTTCCAATTGTTCCAACTCAGATATGAGAGATAAGAAAAAAACTTCCAACCATGGTAAACTAACTTACTGGATATTTAATATTCAAAATAGATTTGAAATTTGTGAAGGCTTCCGTCATGGATATTAAGGATTGATATGAGTCCATTGCAAATGTGGTCACTTTGTTAACACCTTGAACATTCGCCATCTTCAGAACAATATTGAAATAGTTCTAAATTTCAAAGAAACTGGATAAAAGGAGAAACATAGAGGAAGAGGGAGAGAAAAAGAGTGGGTTGGGCCACATATATAGTGGAAAAGGTGTCCGACATTTCTATTCAGGTTCAAAGTCTGGAATCATGCTTAAGATTTCGAGATTATGTTCCTGAAAGGAAAAGCAAAACAAGTCTTCCTAAAAAAAACGTTCAAGCGTATAATCATTAAACAGCAGATAATCTTACTTTGGCATATACCTTCGACTAATAATAAGCTAAAATTCACATTTAGGTGATCACGCTATAGCATTCTGAATCCTCTCTCCGGAGGAACTTTAGTGTTCTTGTCACCTAACGTTAGCTCTAGATCTCGAAGAAGAGTTACGTTCTTAAGGTTTGAATTATGTGAACCTCTTTCATGTTTTACGCAGAGATCATGTTTCAGAAGGCAACGTTAAACACCATCATGGGCGCTTTATAAGATTCTCGACTGGATGAGGTTCGCACTCATTTCTCAAATGTGTAGGAAGAGAGAGAAAAGAGTAATAAGTAAAAAAAAGTTAGCAACGAACTTCGGATCTGTAAGTAAATCAATAACAACGGGAACAAAAGGAGCAACAAAAGAAGCGTGAGATTCTTGATTGACCTCCGTGATTCGTTTTCCACGCGATCGCTGCAGAGGAAACTCTGTCGCAATCATGTTAATCCAACTAATTCAGCTGCATCCAAAAATCCTTGATATGAGCGACAGCATACTCTTAAATGAAAAGCGTGTGATGCCAACACAACAATGAAATGGAGCGGTGAATACGAATGTCACTACGGTCACTACCCTTCCTAAGGACGATGGCCGCACCAGGTATTCGACTGGTTTGCGACCTTTTGAAGATACGCTGCCAAGTGGGTTTCGATAAATACGTGTTTTGTAGCCTTCAACAGGAAAGAATTCACATATGTAAATTTATCTGTAATTAATCTTTAGCCGAGATTTTGAGGTATGGTACGAGAAATATTGAAGCCTTTCTGTTACGAAGTTCATAATATGCTAAGATGACAGTGAATTGGCGAAGGTCTCGAATGTAACTCTTCAGATTTTTTCGTGGCGCCTCCAACAGATTTTTACTGGTTGTAGTACGTTCCCAGAAATTTCCAAAAACATTCTGAAACTGGTATTGGTTGTAAACCGACTACCATTTGATCTCCGTATAAATAATCAATGTACCTTACACCATTGATAAGCTAACACAAAGTTTTCACCAAATATCTAGTAGACGAACTTTTCAACATCTTCGCCTTCCTCAGAGCTAATGAACCGAGTCTACGATGCACTACCGGCAGTCCTCTCGATGTAGTGTGTTCGTCGTCATTTCGAGTTGAACTATTATTTGTTATAAGGTGCATTCGCCGATGTGGTAAGATTTAACCTTACTTCTCATCTCTTCTCAAGCAACTGGCTGGTGATGAAAGACATAATCTAAATTTTGGATGAAGAAATCAGGTGCACAATTTTTCAGTTTCAGAACATTTTACGTGATGTCTTGATCATCCTCCTTAATATGCCAACCTTTGAATACTTTTTCGTGGGTAGTGAAAGGAGTTTCTTCCAGTTTG